GGGCAAAACCCCATCTCTGCTAAAAATACAAAATTTAGCTGGGTGTGGTGGTGCACGCCAATCCCAACTACTCGGGAAGCTGAGGCACGAAAATCACTTGAACCCAGGAGGTGGAGGTTGCAGTGAGCCAAGATCGCCCCACTGCACTCCAGACTGGGTGACAGAGTGAGACTCTGTCTCAAAAAAGACATTAATCATTAGGGAAATGCAAATCAAAACCACAATGAGATAACACTTCACATCCACAAGGAGGACTATTGCAGCAAAATGAAAAATAACAAGTGTTGGCAAGGATGTGGAGAAACTGGAATCCATATACACTCTGGTGTAAGTGTAAAATGGTGCAGCCACTGTGGAAAACGGCATGGCATTTCCATGAAAATTTAAAATTAGAATTACCATATGATACCACAAATGTACTTCTGAGTATATACACACAAAAGAACTGAAAGCAGGAATCTAAACAGATATTTCACAGCCACGTTTATAGCAGCATTATGCACAACAACCAAAATGGGGAAGCAAACCCAGTGTCCCCTGACGAACGAATGAATCAACAAAGTATGGTGTCTCTACACAATGGAATAGTATTCAGCCTTAAAAAGGGAGGAAAGTCTGACACATGTTATAACATGAATACATCTTGAAGATACTATGCTAAGTGAAGTAAGTCAGTAACCAAAAGACAAATACTCTCTGATTCCACTTATTTGAAGTACCTGGAGTGCAGCCTGGGCAACATGGTGAAACCTTGTCTCTATAAAAAATACAAAAATTAGGCCGGGCGTGGTGGCTCAAGCCTGTAATCCCAGCACTTTGGGAGGCCGAGACGGGCGGATCACGAGGTCAGGAGATCGAGACCATCCTGGCGAACACGGTGAAACCCCGTCTCTACTAAAAATACAAAAAACTAGCCGGGCGAGGTGGCGGGCGCCTGTAGTCCCAGCTACTCGGGAGGCTGAGGCCGGAGAATGGCGTGAACCCAGGAGGCGGAGCTTGCAGTGAGCTGAGATCCGGCCACTGCACTCCAACCGGGGCGGCAGAGCGAGACTCTGCCTCAAAAAAAAAAAAAAAAAAAAAGAAAAGAAAAAAGAAAGAAAAAGAGAGAGGGAGAGGGCCAGGCGCAGTGGCTCACGCTTGTAATCTCAGCACTTTGACGGATCACTTGAGGTCAGGAATTCAAGACCGGCCTGGCCAACATGGTGAAACCCCATCTCTACTAAAAATAAAAAAATTAGCCAGGCGTGGTGGCAGATGCTTGCAATCCCAGCTACTCAGGAGTCTGAGGCTGGAGAATTGCTTGAACCCGGGAGGCAGAGGTTGCAGTGAGCCAAGATCAGGACAGTGCACTCCAGCCTGGGTGGGCGACAGAGTGAGACTCAGTCTCAAAAAGAAAAAAAAAAAAAAGAGAGAGAGAGAGAGAGAGAGAAAGAGACAAAGGCAGGCAGGCAGGCATGCAAGCAAGCGAACAGTCAAGCAAATGAAGTACCTAGAGTAGTCAAACTCACAGAGAAAGCAAGTAGAATGGTGGTTGCCATGAGCTGGGGGAAGGAGTGGGTGAAAGGAGAGTTACTGTTTAACAGATTCTGTGTTTCAATTTTACAAGATGAAAAAAGTCCTGGAGAAGTAAAGTGGTGATGGTTGCACAACGATACTTAATGCCACAGAGCTGTACACTTAAAAATAATATAAATGGGCAGGGCGCGGTGGCTCATGCCTGTAATCTCAGCACTTTGGGAGGCTGAGGTGGGTGAATCACCTGAGGTCAGGGGTTCAAGACCAGCCTGACCAATATGGTGAAACCTCATCTCCACTAAAAATACAAAAATTAGCCAGGCACGGTGGCGGGTGCCTGTAGTCCCAGCTACTCAGGACACTGGGATAGGAGAATTGCTTGAACCCAGGAGGTGGAGGTTGCATTGAGCTGAGATCACGCCACTGCACTCTAGCCTGGGTGACAGAGCAAGACTCCATCTCAAAAAATAATAATAATAATATAAATGGTAAATATTATATTATATATATTTTACAATTTGAAAATTTTTAGACGAGGAAACTTTCTAACAAAATGAGATTGCTTCAAGCTGCTTATGACTATCTAAACTAAGCGGCCGGAATAAAAGGTAAAATAGGGGTCAGCCTATATCTGGAATTCCTATTCCTCTGCATGATGTTAGAGCTGAGTTCCTCCCCCCACCTTAAAAAGGCCCCCAAAGCCATACTGATGCTCAGCATTCAGATAAGTCAGTGTATTTGGCTCAAAGTATACACAAATCAAAGAAAACCATGGACAGGTCAATATGATCTACCCTGAAGGATGCACTGATTTATTAAAATGGTCTAAGATATAGTAGTTAGGCCCCACTCCTTGTCCAGGCCTGAGCAGGAAAAAAGCTTTTGAGGAGAGGGCCCAATAGAAAGCTGCCTCCTGTTCTTGATGAACAGGGAAAGTGCCAACAAAGATGGAAGCTTGTACTTGATATTACTGCATCCAACTAGGATTACATCCTAACCCCAGCCTACTCCTCTGGCTCTCCCCAGGACAGGAAAGACAAGGGACAAGGACCCCACAGAACAAAGCCAGCCAGGAGGAACAGCCATCACCCCACACCATCCAATCTGGCAGAAGAATGTGCAGCTGACAGATGAAAGCCTTCTCTGCCTGGGGCCAGGGCTGGGAGAAAGTGGCAGGGGTAGGGATGGGACTGATGTCAATTCTGCCTTTTCCTTTTTATCCATACTTACTCAAATACATGGGTATCTTATTCTTTTTTTTTTTTTTTCCTAACTGCGAGTTATTTAAGAATGATTAATTTGGTTCAACTATGCCACAGGGCTAGAAACATTTGACCCCAAAGTGAGCCAGGAGGCCATTCTACAACAAAAACACTGGGAAAAATAAAACAGATTGCTACAAGAGGTAGTAAGCTCTCTGGCTCTGGAAGCATTCAAGCAGAGGCTGGCTGACCACTGTCTGGGTTGTGGTCAGGGAGATTCCTGCATTCTAGGTCTGCTTAATCCTAACCTTTCATAGCAGGGTGTTGATAGATAATGTCTCAAGTGGTTTTATCGGGAAAAGAAAAAAAAGCCATATAAGCTTGTTGTTTAGAGTTAAAGAGGGCACCAACAGAGGAACTAGAAACAGAAAGAGTCAAGCAACTTCCTTAGAAAGCAGGACTAGAAATGGAAGGCATGGGACAAGGGACCACTGCTCAGTGTTATAAGCTGTTTATTACTTCTTTGCCACGTGCATGTATTAATTTGATTACAATTTTAAAAGTTTAGGCCGGGCGCGGTGGCTCACACCTGTAATCCCAGCACTTTAGGAGGCTGAGACGGGTGAATCACGAGGTCAGGAGTTCAAGAGCAGCCTGGCCAAAATAGTGAAACCCCATCTCTACTAAAAAATACAAAAATTAGCTGGGCGTGGTAGCGTGCGCTTATAGTCCCAGTTACTCGGGAGGCTGAGGCAGGAGAATGGTGTGAACCCGGGAGGCAGAGTTTGCAGTGAGCCGAGATCACGTCACTGCACTCCAGCCTGGGTGACAGAGCGAGACTCCGTCTCAAAAAAA